TCTGGCCCAGCAGAATCTTGTCAACTTCATCTGGCTTGCTGTGCGCGAGCTGCCTGGCTGCTTACTGTAACTGAACCATATGTGCGCGGCCGTTCCCGCGGCCCCTGTGGCGCTCGAACTGAGAGAAGATGGACGCAACTCGCTTCCACCAAACAGCAACTTGATCGCGCAGAGGCGCAGCGCGATACCTGTTGCTTTGCTTGACCGGCTCTTCTATGAAAGAACATCCGTCGCTCCTCCGCGGGCATCCAGATGGTCGGAACTGGTGGTGATCCTATATGACGTTCTCAAAGGCACTGACCCACTGAGAATACCATGAGCTCACAAGATGGACATGGCCAGGGTCGAGCCTAAAGGCTACGGAGGAACAGGAGTGCGGAGGAGGGGGGGGGGGCGGCTTTACAAAAGTGGTGGGCCCTGCGTTGGCCGCAGACACCATCGGGGATAAAAAACTAGGCTCAACCTTCTTTGTTGGCATTTCCGAGGGTTCAAGCTCAACCTGGCCCACCGGTGCACATCTTATGGCTGGGGGTGATCCGAATTGCTGACGTTACTGCAGGACTGCTGACTACCTGGAACAGCTGAGTGGCTTACACCATCCATGAGAAATACTGGAACAGAGGCATTCCATTTAACCGCGGGCTCGGCAGGACCGCAGAAATCAGGCTTGTTGGCCCACGGCCCCCCTTCGTTTCGCCAACATCGAAGGGAAAAGCCCCTCGCCAGGAGCGTCAGTTTCCGCGCCCTGGGAGGGGCCCACACAGAAACATAATCAGACACCTGCGCCGAATCCAGACTGTATCCGAAGAGACTCAGATGTTGTTCCGAGCGTTTCTCCCGAGCAATGGCCCCCATTCGACCGCGGACCTCTTCTTGGCCGTAGAGGCTTTGGACCCCGGGGGTGGCCTTTTGGGCGGGACGAGGAAACTGCGGCAGGCGCTCCGCACACTCTAGGCGGCCTACCAGACGTTGAGGACCTCGCGATCGAAGCGAACGAGCCAGCCCAGTACGCGGCCGCCACGGTGCATCCAGCACGGGATCCAGTTTGACGACGTACGGCAGGGCAGCCTCTGAGACTACGGCGTAGTCAATCAAGTTCCCCTTTGTCCCCAGAATCGCACGTGTGCTCCACTCCCGGCAACGCAACTCGCCCTTGGGCTCGTTGCAGAAAACCACCACGAGAGTGAACGTCTGGATCCATGCTCCAATCTCCCAGACATCCAGGGCCGTTGGAGAGTGGTCAAAGCCCACCCGCCTTGTGCAGCCTGGAAGTATTCCTTCCCGACATGCCAACGGACGAGAAGCAGTGCACAAGCAGGGGCGCGATGGAGAAGCCTTTGAGGCGCAGCACCGACGCCGTGTAGCCATCCAGCGCCTCGCACCCCTCAGCCTTGAGAGCTCCCGTCGTCTTGACCTCTGCGAGCGGCTCGCATTGAAGATGACCGCGTGCCAGAAGCCGTTCTCCAACTTCGTTGGCACGATCGGATCGTGCCTGGCCACCTCGGCCAGACGACCTGGCGGCGTTAGAAATCATCCTGAGCTTCTTCTGCCGAGCCTTGCTCTCCCATGCGCATATTTGATTCGCCCCAACGTGAGTCTCGGCACAACCCGAGATATAGAATTTGGCTGACAGGTCTAGAATATGCGTACATGCACGACTCCCCATGGCCGCGATGTTCGCAAACAAAAATGTTGAAGACGGACTCGAACTGGTCAGAGTCAGAATATATGGACAAACCTGGCGCCTGCACTTGCGCCGCCTCACTGTGGGGCTGCCCGCTGGGCGCAGCTGTAGGCGCTGACCGTCAAGCTGAGGTAGACGGTGGGGCGCTGTCCGCCGCGGCCTGGTTGCCCTTGCCTTTGGCCTTGGCCGTTGCTGCCGCCTCAGCCGCTGCGAACTTGGCCGCCGAGATCTTGGCCGCCTCAGCTCGCGCCGCCTCCCGGGCCTCGGCCTCCGCAGCCTGCGCCTAGGCCGCCGCTGCTGGGGACCCCCCGCTGCTGCTCCTGCGGCTGCCTGCCGCCGCTCCACTGCCCGCAGCTGGTCGCGTGGGCTGGGCCTCGGGCCCCGCCTCTCCACTGGCGGCGTCGTCGGCGCCGTCGAACCCCCCACTTTTTTGGCCGCCAGCCTCGACGCAATGCCTTCCTTCACCTTCGCCGCCTTGCCGAGCCAAGACTTCACCTCGGCATTCTTACGTTGAAGCGACCCTTTCATCTGAACCAATGTAGTATGAATGCGCTTGAGCTCCTCGTTCTCAGACCCTTCGCATTCCAAACTGCTGATGTCCTCGAATATCGGTTGATCCCAAGAAACAGAGTACGCTTCCTCACTACACTTGGTCTCAGGGGTCGCCGAAGGACGCTGGTCCGAGCCCACACCCTCAGCGCGAGCAAGTACTTATGCTGCCTCTGCTTAGCAATCTTAGCTGCTGCCCAGGTTTCCGCCGCCGCCACCTCCTTGGCTTCGGCAGTGGCCAAGGAGTGGCGCAGGCCACGCACGTTGGACACCATCTGGTCGTCCTTGTGATTGCAGTCCCTCCAGTGGCCCTCCGCGCGCTTGTAGGCGTCGGCGGCCGAGGTGTGGGTCTCGACCTTGGCAGGGGACTTTTTTTTTCAGGAGCTCGATGCGATTCTTCAACAGCGCATTGCGCTCCTGATCCTCTGTGCTTCTCATGGCCTCCATCAGCTGGTCGGTCACGTTGGTGGCTGACTCCCACGGAGGCCTGGAAGTCTTCGGGGACCCGGTGCTCTCTGTCTCTTTGTTCCAAACCTCATCCTCGTCGGCGAATGACACTCGACCTGGCGACTGCGAGCGAGACCGAGCCTTCTGCTTTGGAACGAAGAAAACCACGTCGCGCTGACACTTGCTACACTTGCCGCCCGACCTGGTGAGGATATCGTTCCACTCGCATTTCCCGCACTGGCATCTGTTCCAGAGCCGCTGGTCCCTCAAAAAGGAGCCCCCCATGGCTGACGGGAAGGAGTGGGGTCTGACACTCTCGCTTTGGTCACAGATGATTGGCCCTCCCTGTAGGACTCTGCTCTGTGTGCCTCAAGCGCTCTGGGCAAGCACGAGAGTTGGCACGAGCAAAATGCTCGGGCCCAGGTGGCTTGAGATGGGGAGGATGACGAGGAGGAGGAGGAGCAGGAGGAGGAGGAGGAGGAAGAGGAGGAGGAGAGGAGGAGGAGGAGGAGGAGGAGGAGAAGGAGGATGAGGAGGAGTAGAATGAGGAGGAGGAGGAGGAGAAGGATTGCCTGCTCTGTTGCATGCTGCTTTGGGCTAGGCTGCGCCAGCAGGAGCGATGAGCTGATGCAATGATGATGGGAATGAGACGAACGTGGCGGGTGAGGATTGGGTGTCAAGGCCCCAGGGCCAAATCATTGACATCCGCAGCCGCCACGATCTTTCTGTTGCCACCCCATGTGGTACAACCATTCCCCAACGCCTCTCCAGCGAGTCCTTTGGGGAAGGGCCGGTGGAAAGACGGCGCTTCCGGCGCCGTGGAGGGAGTGTGCGGAGGGGGCTCAGCGCCGACCCGACAATATAACACGGGCCTCCGAACGATGATGCTTACCTTGTTACTTCTTGTCTCCCTCTCGACGAAGCCCTGCGCATCCGCCATTTGCACAGGATCGGATGTCGCTGCTGTCTGTTCTGTCCTGTCAGCCTGTTCTGTATGGCTGGGCTCTTCTTCCTGTCACCGAACTCTGCGGAGCCCCCTGGCAAACAGATTGTTACTTCTAAGTCGGGCCTGTCCCTCTACAGGGAGAATATTCAAAAATAGTAAAAAAAAAAAAGTCTGGGGACTATTTTTTGACTATGTTGGGGCATCTTTTGAGTTTGATTTCTTTTCGTCCAAAACCCCCCTGTAGGGGGACGGGCCCGACCTAATGTTCCTTCTTGTCTCCCAACAGAACTTCACCGAGAGGGCTCGGACCTTTTTGCGCGCCTGCCAGGTCTGCCGGCAGATGCCCGGGTGAAGCAAAAACCCTGGCGGCGCCCAGCACAGCCATCGTGCTGCCATCAGGAGCGCTGAATTAAGGCACGAAGGGCCTCGGTCATGTCCGCGGACGACTTGTGTGCAGCATACCGCGTCGGCGTCTACCGAGACGTGGTCGATCCTCGACACAGGAATCGTACGGTGCACACTTGTTCGGCCCTCGGGACCGAATAGCTGTGCACCGTGCCGCGTTGGCAACCGTTGGGGCGGGTCCTGAAGGGAGTCCAAATATGGTACGGTACATCGGCGCAGTTCTCGTATCACGCTAAGGTTTCCCGACCCAGATTTAAGGAACGGCCCGAAAACCAGAGCCCCTCCTGAGCCCAGAGTGGGCTCCAGCTCATCGTCTTGACTGTCGTCTCAGCTGTTTGTGAAGGCATTACAACCGGTGCCGCCGACCCTGAAGGGAGACGACGACGACGACGAAGAGAAATCGAGGACGCGTAAAGTTAGAACAGTTTAATGTAAATCCATGGTTTTCCCCTTTTGAGGCTCTTGGGGGTCCTCCTGGGTGTTCTTTTGGAGCCATCTTGGGGCGTCTCGGTGGATTCTAAGGCTGTCTTGAGGGTATATTGGGCTGTTTGGGGGCGATCTTGGGCTGTTTCAGGGCCCTCTTGGATCAAGCCACGGTACAAGTAAGCTCGAGGCGTCTGCGAGGCAAGGAATCGAAGCGGAAAGTTTATTCCAGGGAGGGTTGCTCCCTCCCCGAAGGGGCGGTCACAGCCCCCAGACGCCCGCCTCCTCTCCGGCGGGGGAGTGCCCCAAGGGACGGGGTTTCCCTTCGACTCGGTTGCGACGTTGCTTGGTTTCTCTCTGGCTGGAACGCTTGAGGATCGGGCCCAGGGAAAGGGGGAGCGACCACGGCGACGACGACGACGACGACGACGACGACGACTCAAATGGACCAGCATCAGGAGGGGGAGCGGCGACGACGACGACGAAAACAGAACAGCCTCTCACACACGCCGACGGGGTCGGTGGATTCTTGCGCTCCCCGCTCAGGATCCTCAGCATCGAGTCTTGACAGCCAGGTGTCCCGCCCGTGCCGCGCCGTGACATGTGCGGAGTGGGCGCCGTGCCGGGGAAAAAGGGCGCGACCGCGGCAGCGGTGGCGCGAGCGCGCGCGCGAGGAGCAGGAGGGCGGAGGATGACGAGGAGGAGGAGGAGGAGGAGGGCGGAGGGGGAGGAGGAGGAGGAGGAGGAGGAGGAGGAGGAGGAGGAGGAGGAGGAGGAGGAGGAGAGTAGAAGGGGGACCAGTGTAAACCCAAGACTCATCAATATGTTGAAATACACCCCAATCTCCCTCTTCATATGCCCCTACAAGTGTTTTTTTGTTTATTATTTTGCCGACCGGCGCGGGCCCTCGCACTCCCACTTCCCCCGCCCCATGGAGTGGATCTTGCCTGTTTTGGGAGCCTGTTTTAAAGCAGGTGGAGTCTCTCCCATTATGGGCGCACTGTTGCAAACAGTCGCACTAAGCAGAGGTCCAGAGCCAGACACCCCCCCTCCCCACCCTTCCGCCCAATGTCGAAACGCCGAATAAGACAACGTTGGCCAACATTCATTTTTATTAAGGGAAGAGCCCCGTTGGGGGACAGCCGTGTGAAAGTCCGGAAGCGTGCCAAAACACCGTTTTCAGGACTTCAACGCCACGAGTAAACTTGATGCTGCGTCTTGGCGATCCTGAACCGTGCCAGAACATTATTTCTGGAACATCAACACCGCGAAACAACGTATCTGTTGCGCCCTGACCATTCTGAATCCTTCCAGAACGTCACTCCTGGTACGTTGACCATCAGAACCTGTGAAACTCTTGCAGTGTGCGCGGCGCTAAGGCGAGAGCCACAGTTTGAAAACGAATCGTCCTCAATCCGTGAAGCTCTTGCAAACGTTTGAAGCGAATGTGCGCGACTTTGGGTCGAGAGCCACATTTTGAAAACGAACCGCCCTCAATCCGCTAAACTCTTGCACATGTTTAGAATGAATGTGCGCGGCGCTAATGCGAGAACCACCTTGTGACAGCGAACCGCCCCAAATCCTTGAAGCTCAAACGAATGTGCGCGGCGCTCATGGCGAGCGCCACATTTTGAGAACGGCCCGCCCTCAATCAGCGAGATTATTGCAAGTTGTTCAAGTGAATGTCCGCGGCGCTAAGACGAAAACTACATTTTAACAACGACCCGCCCTCAGTCCGTGACGCTTTTGGAAATGTTGCAAACAAATGTGCGCGGCGCTCAGGCGAGAGCCATATGTTGAAAACGGCCCGCCCTCAATCCGTGACGCCCTTTGCATTTTTTTCAAGCGAGTGTGCGCGGCGCTGAGGCGAGAGCCACATGTTGAAAGCGGCCCGCCCTCCGTCGGCACAGCCGTTGCCAACTTTTCAGCTTGAGGCGCATTCGTGTCAGGGAAGTCTCAGGCGGAACGCCTGGACCGCCCTTCCGACTGGCCTCGGCGTGCGACAGGGAGGAGGTATCCATAAGGAAAAGGAATGGAGGAGGAATGAGGGAGGGAGTGGGAGGGGGAGAGAGGGGGGACAGGACGAGTGTGCAGGAGAAGGAGGAAGACAAGGAGCACGTATAGGAGGAGAAGGAGGAGGAGAGGAGGAGGAGGAGGAGGAGGAGGAGGAGGAGGAGGAGGAGGAGAGGAGGAGGGGAGATGAGGAAGATAAGGTGGAAGGGGGGGAGACCAGTGTAAACCCAAGGCGAATCCACGATGCTGTATTACGCCCACCCGCCAAGATGCCTCTTCACAGGTTTTTGCAATAATTTATCTGCATTGCGGGAGGGGCCCCATTTAACGACAACCGTTTGAGAACCTTTGACCGTGACAAAATACCATTCCTGGGATTTCAGCTCAGCGGAACGGCGTGATTGTTGCGCCCTGACACTCCAGAACCACGCCAGATCACCATTCCTGTGGCGTCAGCACCGCGAATCAACGTGCCTGTGGCGTCCTGACAATCTAAAGCCTCGCCGACGCACAAATCGTTAAAGTTCAACCGAACGAACCGTGGAAACTGATGCAAACGTTTAAGACGAATGCGTGCGGTGCTAAGACGAGAGCCACAGTTTGAAAAAGAGCCGCCCTCTACAGTTTGCGCTGTTGCATGTTTAAGCCGAGTGCGCGCGCTGCTATGGCGAGGGGTACATGTTGAACACGGCCCGCCCTCATTCCTTGGAACTGCTGAAAGCTGTTGAGGCACATGTGCGTGGCGCTGAGGCGAGAGCCACACCTGGAAGACGACCCGCCCTCCATTCTTGCAGCTGTTGCAGAATTTTGAAGACGATGTGCGCGGCGTTCAGGCGATAGCTACATTTTGAGAACGGCCCGCCCTCCATCTTTGAAACTGTTGCAATTTTCAGATGTCAGGATCACATATGACGAGATGGGAGGGAAGAGACAGGAAGAAGAGAACAGAGGGGCTGACGAGGGTCAGCAGGGAGGAGGACGACGGAGTGGAGGAGGAGACTGCTTGGGACGAGCGGGGCCGAATGACTATGAGGAGGAGGAGGAGGAGGAGGAGGAGGAGGAGGAGGAGGAGGTGGAGGTGAAGGTTGATAAGGATGAGGAGGAGGAGGAGGAGGAGGAGGAGGAGGAAGAGGAGGACCTGAGGAGGGAGAGGAGGAGGAAGAGGTCGATGTGGTAGCGGGGAAGAAGGAGGGAGGGTGCAGGGAAGAAGGAAAAGAGGGACATCCAGAGGCCCCAAACAGGCCGAAGAACGTCCACAAGCTTGCGACAAAACATCGGCGGCCACTGGAGACCCCGCGTGGACACGTACCCACAGGGTCCACAACAGAAGGCCGAAGGACGCCCGCGAAACCTGCGAACGATCACCCGACAGAAGCAGTTCGAGAGAGGGCCTCCGATACTGTACAGGCTGTGCGGGATCATGTGGCAGAGTTCAAGCAGAGGCCCTCGTGGGGTCCGTTGCCAGGCCAGCACGGCCTCAGCTTCAGTAGTGCTTGTCATTGTGGGCGTCCAGGTCAGCCGTCACGCGCGGCGGCGGCACAGTCTGGGATCGCGATCTGCCCCTCTTCGCTAAGAGAAAGCTCGAGCGATGGCCCAATGACCAGCTGGGCGAGGGCATATGTCAGGGAAACGTAAGACTCGAGTAAGCCGGAACTCTCATCCTCCTCCTCCGCCTCCTCCTCCTCCTCTTCCTCCGCTTCCTCATCGTCCTTCTCTTCCTTCTCCTCCTCCTCCTTCTCCTCCTCCTCCTCCTCCTCCTCCCCCTTCCCCTCCTCCTCCTCCTCCTCCTCCTCCCCTCCGCGGAGCAGCGCGGGTGCTACCGGCCTAGCTTCTCGAGAGCCCCGCGCCCCGCGGGCGCGTCGGCTCGAGCCTGTGTGTGGCTGCTGGCGAACCGAGGCGCTTCTGGCGGCAGAGGCGGGGGGTTGGACCTTCTCCTCCTCCTCCTCCCCCTCCTCCTCCCCCTCCTCCCCCTCCTCCCCCTCCGTCCCCTCCCCCCCCCCCCCGACGACGAGAATTTCCCAATCGCGGCGTGTTTCCTTCGCTTCTGCCTCCTGGGGCCGCTGCCGTGCCCATTGGAGATCGGGTCCGGAACGAGAAGCAGTCCCTGGCGAAGGGGTCGAGGAGACCCTTGGAGCCCGGATTGATCCATCGCATCGGCGGATACCTCTCGATGTGGCCCGCCCACTCGTTGTCGTTGACGTTGCCGTTGTCGCTGGCGGTCGTTGAGAGTAGGTATTTTTTGGGACGCCCACGTCCCAATCTACTCTGGGCGCCTTCCCGCTTCAAGAGTCGGGCGGTGTTCCTTCTTCCCTTCTCTTCCCCATGGCGGACGGAAGCCCGATCTGCTTCCAGCGCCTCCCTGCGTCATGGTTTTCCGCCCGCTTCTTCCGACCGACGGGTGTCGTTGTCGTCGTCTCCTGGCATGCAGTGCGGGCGCGGCCGCAAGAAACTCAACCCTGAGAACCCGTACGCGAGGTGCATCTGAGGGGAAACCTGGAGCACCCTGAACGCAGCAGCTCCTTCAACGGCTGCGGGAAGTCACCGCGCAGCGCGAGGAGTGAAGAAACCCAGGATACCCCCGACGAAAAGCATATGGCTTCTTGAGGCGTGCCTCCACTGATGATGATGAAGAAGATGATGATGATGATGATGATGATGATGATGATGATGATGATGATGATGATGACGACGACGATGACGATGACGATGACGATGATGATGAGGATACTGATGATGTTGATGTCATCATCATCATCATCATCATCATCATCATCGTCATCATCATCATCATCATTGTTATCAGCTTCGCAGAAAGACGTTGCTCTCACGCTGCTCGCTTCACTCGGTCTGCCCAGGCGCGCCTCCGCGCGCAGGCAGGGAGGCCCAGCCCGCCGCGGCCGGGCGGCCGACCGCCCTGTCTTACGTCTCCTCCGCCGCCTCCTCATCGTGACGGCGGAGGTGGAGGAGGAAGGGGAGGAGGAGGAGGAGGAGGAGGAGGAGGAGGAGGAGGAGGAGGAGGAGGAGAAGGAAGAGGAGGCGGGAGGAGGAGGAGGAGGAGGAGGAGAAGGAAGAGGAGGCGGGAGGAGGAGGAGGAGGAGGAGGAGGAGGAGGAGGAAGGGAGGAGGGACCAGTGTAAACCCAAGAGCCATTAACGATGTTGGAATACACCCTCCCCCCAAGCTCCCTCTTCGCAGGCCCGTACAACGGTTCATTTCCATTGAGGGATCTACCTCGTTGGAAGACAAGCGTTTGAAGACCTGGAAGCATGCCATAACATTTTCTCGGGAGATTCCAACGCCGCGGATCAACCTGACTGTTGCGTCTTGGCGATCCTGGATCATGCCAGAACGCCGCTCGTGGGATTTCAACACCGCGAATCAACGTAACTGCTGTGCCCACAACCAACGTAACATTTCTGGTACGTTGATCGTGGGAACCTACGAAACATTTGCAACATTTGTGAAATAATGTGCGCGGCGCTAAGGCGAGAGTCACATGTTGAAAAGAAGCCGCCCTCAATCCATGAAACCCTTGCGAATGTTTAAAACCAATATGCGCGGCGCTGAGGCGAGAGCCACATTTTGAAAACGGGTCATCCTCAATCCGTGGAAATCTTGCAAGTGTTTAAAACGAATGTGCGCGGCGCTAAGGCGAAAGCCACATTTGAAAACGACCCGCCCTCAACACGTGAAACTCTTGCAATTCTTTAGAAATGTGCGCGGCGCTAAGGCGAGAGCCACACTTTGAAAACCATCCGCCCTCCATCTGTGAAGCGGTTGCCAATTTTCAAGTTTCAGGGCTATAGATGGTGAGGAAGTTTCAGGCGAAACGCCCGGCCCGCCCTAAAATCTGGCATCGGGGTGCGACAGGGGGGCGTTATTCATAAGAAACATGGAATGGAGGAGGAGGAGGAGGAGGAGGAGGAGGAGGAGGAGGAGGAGGAGGAGGAGGAAGGCCTGGCATAGCCATGGAGGATGCGGGTCCCGGCGGCCCCCGAAAACGGCGAACACCCTTCCAATGCCTCCTCCTGCTCCCTCCTCCTTCCTTCCTCCTCCTCCTTCCTCCCTCCTCCTCCTTCCTCCCTCCTTCTCCCTCCCTCCTCCTCCTCCTCCTCCTTCTGTGGCTTCGGGCCTGGGCCTTAATTTGGCTTATGGTCCCGCGGCTCCTTTGCAGCGCACGCGTGCACCACAGCCTCGACGCAACGTGCAGTCATGGCGCCTGCGTGGCGTTCGCAGGCCGCCTGTGGTGCTCGCAGGTTGCCGAGGTGTTCCCAAGCTACTCTGGCACTCGTAGGCTACCGCGGAGTTCCCAGGCTGACTGCCGGTACTTACAGGGCGGCGGCGTTTGCGGGCTGTCGCGGCACTCGCAGGATCTGGCGTTAGTTTTGCGCGCGCACGTGGCGCTCGCAGACTGCTGGGGTATTGACAGAGTCCAGTCTCATTGTGGCTTCGGGAATCGGAGCAAGGCCAGTCGTGACGGTGGCCATCACGGGCGTGTCTCGTCTTTATTCGGCCTCCTGGAGCTCAGTGGGCCTTGGAAGCAGCAGGGCAGTTGTTTGTTACCTTTTTTTTGTTTGTTGTTTAATTTCCCGCGCAGTTGTTTGATGTTTCCAGTGCCATTGTTTTACCGTTTTCGTTTCCCCTCGGGGGGTCTTGATCAAGATTACCGTTTTTTTTCCGATCCGAACCGTTTTCGAGCGGGCGGGTTCCGAATGTCCTTCGGATCCCCAGACTGCCCAGGCTGTTTCCGTCGACTTCTTTGTCTTGTACCGGTTCGGTGACAAGTTTTTTTCGTGCTGGATCCGCCTCGAGAGCCAGGTCCCGACGGACCTTGGGAGGGGTCCACGGACCGATTCCGTCGGCATCGTCGCCCACCTCCTCCTCCTCCTCCTCCTCCTCCTCCTCCTCCTCCTCCTCCTCCTCCTCCTCCTCCTCTTCCTCCTCCTCCGCCCCGTCCTTCCCCCCCTCCCCTGTCCCAATCTTTCTTTCCTCATCGTTATCATCCTCTTCCTCCTCCCAATCCTCGTCCTGCTCCTCGTCTTCGTTTTCATTGTTCTCTTCTTCCTTTTTCGCTCGTCCTCGTCCTCGTCGTCCTGTCGTCATCGTCCTCGTCCTCCTTGTCGTCGTCCTCATGGTCTTCGTGGTCCTGATCGTCGTCCTGGTCAAAGTCCCACCTGTCGTCCCCGTCATTGTTTTCAGTATCCTCGTCGTCCTGGTGGTGGTGGTGGTGGTCATCGTCGTCATCGTCGTCATCGCCCTTTCCCCCGTCATCCACACCCCCGCCTCGTCTTATCCTCGTCCTCCTGCGCCTCTTCATCATCCTCGTCATCTTCCTCTGGATTCTCCGCGTTGACCTCGTCTTTGCGTCCTCATCCTATCTCGCAGGCGATCGTAGCACTTGCAGGGTCCAGTATGTTGTTGCGCACACACGTGGCGAACGAATCGCGTTCGCAGCCATCACATCGTGGCTCTCGCATGCTCTTCTGGTACTTCCGCTGTGCATCATACGATTGCCAATAGCATGTGCTCGTAGGCCGTGGCGTTACAGGGCTCGCAGGTTGCTCTGCGCTCTCGTGATATATTGGATACCTGTAGAGTGTGGCAAACTGTCGTCGCACAGTATGGTGCTCTCGAGGCTGCTGTGGCTCCGTCATGGTATGTCCTCCCTCTCCTCCCCGTCTGGTTGTCGCAATCACGTGTGGCACTCGCGGGTACGTTTTGCGGTGCGTACATGCACCACGTCCACATCTTGCCGCAAGGTGAAGGTGCGCGCAGCAGCAAAAAGGCGCACGCGTGCGCTCTGGCGGTGCTGGGGGCGCACTGCAGGGTGGGGGGCGGGCGGCGTTACGCTGAAGCCCCCCCCTCCCCAAACCACCCCGACCACGTCCGCACCTCGCCGCAAGGTGAAGGCGCGCGCAACAAAAGAAGGTGTACGTGTGCGCTCTGGTGGTGCTGGGGGCACATCGGGGGGGGCGTGGGCGCGGCATTACGTTGGAGCCCCCCCTCCCCCCAAACCACCCCGCCTCCCATCAGTCGCGTTTGCTGCACAACTCCCTGGGCATTTACAACAACAAAAACGTTCCTGTCCTGTTCGGTTCCTTCCTCAGGTGCGCTTGCGAAGCTTGGCATCGCTCGGACGTGTTCGTTTTTTTCCTCGGCGAGGATCACTGAGGAGCATCTTGGGTCATTTCCGAAAAATAAACGCACGAGATCGCAAACTACACTGGAAACGGACGTTCGAGCGATTGCGAGGAAGGGTCTTCGCACTGTCGGGGTATGTGCTGTGAGGTTTTTGTTTGTTTTTTGTCCTCTATGTGTCGGGCTGCGAGTGCAGCACGCTTCTCTTCTCGGGCCCCTAGAAGGACTTGTGGAGTCCCAGGGATACCAGGAATGTGAGAAATCAGAAGAAGGCGAACAGAAACAGAAAAAGGTGAAGAACAAATCATAAGAAAATCCGAAGAAATCAGAAAAAGGCAAAACAAGGCGAAACAACAAACAAAAAATAATATTATCCCGGCAGAGCAACCTAACAGCGATGTGTAGAAGCATATCTGAAAGCATTCCCCTTAAGATTCAGATGAAAATCCAGTTGTAGAATTCTGCTGTTCTCGCAGTCGTAGTCGCATTCGCGATGACAGTCGCAGCGGCAACGGCAGTCGCAGTCACAGCCTCAGCCTCAGCCTGCCTCAGCCTCAGCCTCAGCCTGCCTCAGCCTCAGCCTGCCTCAGCCTCAGCCTCAGCCTGCTTCAGCCTCAGCCTCAGTCTGCCTTCAGCCTCGGCCTCAGCCTCAGCCTGCCTCAGCCTCAGCCTGCATCAGCCTCAGCCTCAGCCTCAGCCTGCCTCAGCATCAGCCTGCCTCAGCCTCAGCCTCAGCCTGCCTCAGCCTCAGCCTCAGTCTGCTTCAGCCTCAGCCTCAGTCTGCCTTCAGCCTCGGCCTCAGCCTCAGCCTGCCTCAGCCTCAGCCTGCCTCGGCCGCAGCATCAGCCTGCCTCAGCATTCAAAATGTGGCCCAGGAATGGAGTTCTGGGAACTAGAAGAACACGAAGTGGCCTACAGTTGGCTCCGGGCATTCAAATCATGCCCAGGAATGACAACTCGCCGAAGTGGCCTACAGTTGGCTCCGGGCATTCAAAATGTGAATGGAGTTCTGGGAACTCGAAGAGCACGAAGTGGCCTACAGTTGGCTCCGGGCATTCAAAATCATGCCCGGAATGGAGTTCTGGGAACTCGAAGACCACGAAGTGGCCTACAGTTGGCTCCGGGCATTCAAAATGTGGCCCGGGAATGGAGTTCTGGGAAGTCGAAGAGCACGAAGTGGCCTACAGTTGGCTCCGGGCATTCAGAATGTGGCCCGGGAATGGAGTTCTGGGAGGTCGAAGAGCACGAAGTGTGTGTGACTGTTTGCTTAAAACGACTTCTGCGGCACCCTGTCCGGCACCCGCCCAGACCCCCCTGTGGAGTCATCTGCTGCTCTCTTTTGACACCATTAGAAACCTATCAGAACAAGCTGTTAGGAGCATATCTGGAAGCATCCCCCTTAAGATTCAGATGAGAATCCAGTTGTAGAGTTCTGCTGTTCTCGCAGTCGTAGTCGCATTCGCGATGACAGTCGCAGTGGCCTGCATTAGCCTCAGCCTCAGCCTCAGCCTGCCTCAGCATCAGCCTCAGCCTCAGCTTCAGCCTGCCTCAGCCTCAGCCTGCTCCTGCATCAGCCTCAGTCTGCCTGCAGCCTCGGCCTCAGCCTCAGCCTGCCTCAGCCTGAGCCTGCCTCAGCCTGCCTGCTCAGCCTCAGCCTCGCCTACCTCAGCCTCAGCATCAGTCTGCCTTCAGCTCGGCCTCGCCTCGGCCTCAGCCTCAGCTGCCTCAGCCTCAGCCTGCCTCAGCCTCAGCCTCAGCCTGCCTCAGCCTCAGCCTGCTTCAGCCTCAGCCTTAGCCTGCCTCTGCCTCAGCCTCAGCCTGCTTCAGCCTCAGCCTCAGTCTGCCTTCAGCCTCGGCCTGCCTCAGCCTCAGACTGCATGAGCCTCAGCCTCAGCCTCAGCCTGCCTCAGCATCAGCCTGCCTCAGCCTCAGCCTCAGCCTGCCTCAGCCTCAGCCTCAGCCTGCTTCAGCCTCAGCCTCAGTCTGCCTTCAGCCTCGGCCTCAGCCTCTGCCTCAGCCTCAGCCTCGCCTCAGCCTCAGCCTCAGCATCAGCCTGCCTCAGCCTCAGCCTGCCTCAGCCTCAGCCTCCTGCTTCAGCCTCAGCCTCAGTCTGCCTTCAGCCTCGAGCCTCAGCCTGCAGCCTGCCTCAGCCTCAGCCTCAGCCTCAGCCTCAGCCTCAGCCTCAGCCTGCCTCAGCCTCAGCCTCAGCCTGGCCTGCCAGCCTCAGCCTCAGCCTCAGCTCTGCCAGCCTCAGCCTCAGCCTCAGCCTGCCTCAGCCTCAGCCTCAGCCTGCAGCCTCAGCCTCAGCCTGCTTCAGCCTCAGCCTCAGTCTGCCTTCAGCCTCGGCCTCAGCCTCAGCCTGCCTCAGCCTCAGCCTGCATCAGCCTCAGCCTCAGCCTCAGCCTGCCTCAGCATCAGCCTGCCTCAGCCTCAGCCTCAGCCTGCCTCAGCCTCAGCCTCAGCCTGCTTCAGCCTCAGCCTCAGTCTGCCTTCAGCCTCGGCCTCAGCCTCAGGCTGCCTCAGCCTCAGCCTGCATCAGCCTCAGCCTCAGCCTCAGCCTGCCTCAGCATCAGCCTGCCTCAGCCGCAGCCTCAGCCTGCCTCTGCCTCAGCCTCAGCCTCAATCTGCCTTCAGCCTCGGCCTCAGCCTCGGCCTGCCTCAGCCTCAGCCTGCATCAGCCTCAGCCTCAGCCTGTCTCAGCATCAGCCTGCCTCAGCCTCAGCCTCAGCCTGCCTCAGCCTCAGCCTCAGCCTCGGCCTGCTTCAGCCTCAGCCTCAATCTGCCTTCAGCCTCGGCTTCAGTCTCAGCCTGCCTCAGCCTCAGCCTGCATCAGCCTCAGCCTCAGCCTCAGCCTGCCTCAGCCTCAGCCTGCATCAGCCTCAGCCTGCTTCAGCCTCAGCCTCAGCCTGCATCAGCCTCAGCCTGAGTCTGCCTTCAGCTTCGGCCTCAGCCTCAGCCTGCCTCAGCCTGCCTCAGCCTCAGCATCAGCCTGCCTCAGCATTCAAAATGTGGCCAGGGAATGGAATTCTGGGAACTCGAAGAACACGAAGTGGCCTACAGTTTGCTCCGGGCATTCAAAATCATACCCAGGAATGGAGTTCTGGGAAGTCCAAGAGCACGAAGTGGCCTACAGTTGGCTCCGGGCATCCAAAATGTGGCCCGGGAATGGAGTTCTGGGAACTCGAAGACCACGAAGTGGCCTACAGTTGGCTCCGGGCATCCAAAATGTGGCCCGGGAATGGAGTTCTGGGAACTCGAAGACCACGAAGTGGCCTACAGTTGGCTCCGGGCATCCAAAATGTACGCCGGGAATGGAGTTCTGGGAACTCGAAGACCACGAAGTGGCCTACAGTTGGCTCCGGGCATTCAGAATGTGGCCCGGGAATGGAGTTCTGGGAGGTCGAAGAATGGAGTTCTGGGAGGTCGAAGAGCACGAAGTGTGTGACTGTTTGCGAAAAACGAGGTTCCCCGGCAATCCCCAACGGCCCCCCAACGGCCCCCCAACACCTCCCCAACGGCTGCCCAGACCGCCCTGGAGTAATGTGCTGTTCTCTTTTTACACCACTAGAAACCTATCAGTCTTCGCTGTTAGGTAAATAACAAGAAATTATCCCGGCAAAGCAACCTAACAGCGATGTGTAGGAGCATATCTGGAAGCATTCCCCTTAAGATTCAGATGAGAATCCAGTTGTAGAATTCTGCTGTACTCGCAGTCGTAGTCGCATTCGCGATGACAGTCGCAGTGGCAACGGCAGTCACAGTCACAGCCTCAGCCTCAGCCTGCCTCAGCCTCAGCCTCAGCCTGCCTCAGCCTCAGCCTGCCTCAGCCTCAGCCTCAGCCTGCTTCAGCCTCAGCCTCAGTCTGCCTTCAGCCTCGGCCTCAGCCTCAGCCTGCCTCAGCCTCAGCCTGCATCAGCCTCAGCCTCAGCCTCAGCCTGCCTCAGCATCAGCCTGCCTCAGCCTCAGCCTCAGCCTGCCTCAGCCTCAGCCTCAGCCTGCTTCAGCCTCAGCCTCAGTCTGCCTTCAGCCTCGGCCTCAGCCTCAGCCTGCCTCAGCCTCAGCCTCAGCCTCATCAGCCTGCCTCAGCATTCAAAATGTGGCCCGGGAATGGAGTTCTGGGAACTCGAAGAACACGAAGTGGCCTACAGTTGGCTCCGGGCATTCAAAATCATGCCCAGGAATGGAGTTCTGGGAACTCGAAGACCACGAAGTGGCCTACAGTTGGCTCCGGGCATCCAAAATCTGGCCCGGGAATGGAGTTCTGGGAACTCGAAGACCACGAAGTGGCCTACAGTTGGCTCCGGGCATTCAAAATGTGGCCCGGGAATGGAGTTCTGGGGACTCGAAGACCACGAAGTGGCCTACAGTTGGCCTACAGTGGCCTACAGTTGGCTCCGGGCATCCAAAATGTGGCCCGGGAATGGAGTTCTGGGAAATGGAAGAGCACGAAGTGTGTGACTGTTGCATCCGGTTATTCAGAATGTGGCCTGGGAATGGGGTTCTGAGAGGTCGACGAGCACGAAGTGTGTGACTGTTGGTGAAAAACGAGCCCGGCACAGGCCCGGCCGGCAACTCCCAACGCCTGCCCGGACCCCCCTGTGGAGTGATCTGTGAGCTCTTTTGAGTCAACTAGAAACCTATCAGTCTTCGCTGTTAGGTAAAAAGGTGAGGAAGGTGACGAATCAGAAAAAGGCGGACAAATCGGAAGAAGGCGAAATCAGGAAGGTGAAGAAGGCGGACGAACAGAAAAAGGCGAGAAACCGAAGACGCCGAAAAAGACGGCAAAGACGAAAACTACTGAACAAAAATACGGCACACACAGAGGTCTGCGAGCAGGAGCAGCTCACCTTGATCGTCGCTGTCGTCCTCCTGCCCTTGTCCGCCTTGTCGTCCTCCTTCCCGCTTCCTTCTTCACCCTCCCGCTGGAAGGCCACCCCGAGCGGAATGGCGCCCAGCACGAAGAAGGGCCGGAAGGGCCAGGAGCCGGTGACGCGGGACTACACGATCCACATGCACAAGCTGCTACATAAGGTCCCGCTCCCAGATCTCATAGCGCCAACATCGCAGAGCGAAATTCGTGCGGACTTTTTTTGGCCAGGAATGAAGACCAAACATATCCCACGCGAAATTCACTTCGTTTTTCGCTCGCCGCTTCGGGCAAATAATTACCCACGCAGAAATCCACAGAAGTCCACTGCAGCACGTCTGCAAGGCCGGCGCAGTGACAGATGCCTCTCTCGCTGCTGCAGGGATCACGGCGGGAGGCTTCTGGCCGTCGCAGGCCTTCGGGGGGGCCCCCGCGCGGCCCGAGGGCCGCTTCGAGAAGAGGTCTCGGGCCTGGAGCCGGGTGCCAGGGAGGAGGTCCCGACCTCCGGGGAGACACGCTGCGAAGACGAAGCATGACGTCGGAGGTCTCGGCTCTCCCCTCCCTTCCCCCCCTCCTCCTGCCCTTCCCCCCAGCCCCACCCCCTCCCCCACCCCCTGCCCCTCCCCCTCCCCCTCCCTCTGCAATTACACAATCTGAATACTATTCTCCTCTCTCCCCTGGCGACGTCCACAAAATGTCTGGCCCCCCTCCGCGTATTGTTTTTTACGCAGGAGTCCTGGGAGTTGGGTGTTCGCTTGGGCTTGCTTTCTTCAAATTTCTGTTCCCGCTGAAGCGCTGGCCCTATTTTCTGCGCCTCTGGTTGTTCCGAATCGTGCTCCCGCTACAGCACGGGCGTTTTCGGTCCTTCCACATAGGCCCCAAATCGAGGAAATGCCCCCCCGAAAAAAGGCATCGGAAGTGATTACACATTCGCTGCCGATTCGTTGAATTCTTGGGGCCGCAGATTCCCCCCCCACTTTGGGGCACCGTCGTTTTCAGAAAGTATCAAGCGGGAGCCACGCTTCTGTTTTGAGAAGGCGACGTTGGAAGCAGAGCCAGCGGGTGCTCTGCATCAGCCCCGCCTTGTGTGGAGCTTTTCGGGGAGCCCAACGAGCTAGACATGGAGCCACGCCTCTTGACCGGCCCAGACCTCTCGAAGACGACCCACCTACCCTCAAAGGAACCCGGCGCCATGCCATGACATGTTGTGCGGTGCTGTGTTCTGCGCCGCTGTGCGATGCCATGCGTTACGTGCAATGCTTTGTGATACAGTGCTTCACTGCGCAATGCCACGCCATGTCATGGCATGCTACGCTCTGCGGTGCCCTTTTATGACATGCAATGCCGTGCTCGGCATGCATCGCGTACCCTCTCGCGATCGTTGCCCTGCTCGACATCCGAGTGTGCGAATAGAGAGGATATCTACGCCATGGTAAGGGATGGGAGGGAGGGATAAGACGTCAGATATGACGCTGGTTCACCTAGCTTGCCCCCTCCCCCTCCCTCTCCCCCTCACCCCCCTCTCCCCCTGCCCCCCCCCCGAGCCTGGGGAGGGCGTGTCGGCAGGAAGGTTTTTTTTTCCCGAGGAAGTCCACGCTTCGGCCCGTTCGGCTGCGCTTGCGGTCGGGTGCAGTCGGTCCGCTTCAGGTCGGTCGGCGGTTGGGTCGCTGCTGCGTCGCTGCGCCATTCTAGGCTGCTTGCGGCCTAATGTTTTCGGTTTCACTGTCGCCTCGGTCGTACCGTCGCCGTGGACGGCCTCGTTCCTCCTCCGTCTCGTCCTTTTTCGGAGGCCCCGACCCTCGGGGTCCTCGTGTGTTCGACGTCGTTGGCGTCCCATGTCCAGTGGCCCTCACCATGCAGCTCAGCACCTTTCCGGTAGCATATCTGAGGAAGTCAGGGCCCCCCTTGCCCCTCAGTCATCCAGCACGTTTAGTGGGTCGGCTGGGGGCAGGGCCACCTGTTGGAATCGGACTGGATGGGCGAGCCGTCCTTCCGCCGGAGACACCAGAGGACCTCGGTTGCCGAAGGGCTTCAGCGTAGCCAGTGCAAACACTTCCCCTGGAGCTGGGATGCCATGAGCGCGTGGCCTCCTCCTCCTCCTCCTCCTCGCACCCCCCTAGTAGCTCCTCCTCCTCCTCCTCGTCATCATCATCACCACCATCACCATCAGCGCCACGAGGGTGTTGCTGCGCCCGTGTGGATCCACGCCGACATCGAAACCATGGTGGAGTGGCTCAACGGCAAGGCGCGGGCCAAGGACAAGGACATGGTGCGTATCATCCCAGACGTCCACGAGACGCTCGCTTATCAGTGGCGAGCGGCTGCTGTGCTACGCACGCGCGGGAGGGCAGTGGCCGAGACCAGAACATGGCTGCCGATGCCCTGACCACACACAGGGCACGCAGGGCTGGCGACGAGGAGATGGTCCGCTTGCGAAGGGTCTTGCGTCCCTAGAAAGGCAGGCTTCGCACCGACTGAGGATACCGTTGTGAGCGCATAGGCTGGACTACAGCGAGGCCACATGACTGCAGAGCCGGAGGACGCAGCATCTTGACCGAGATGCAGGGGATGACGAGGCTTGTGGGCTTCGTTTCGTATTTGAGAAGCTGTATTGACGCCGCCAGAGCAGACAGTGAAGGGAAACACTCACGTATGCTTGAGTTTCCTGCTCCGGGGTAATTAGTCCAAAAAGAAACGTCTTGCATGCCAGTTCGCGAACAGGCGTGAGGCAGAGGAGATATCACCACCATTACTACCATTGTCATCTTCACCACCATCATCACCACCAGCACCATCAGCGTCATCACCGCAACCACCACAATCATCGTCATCATCATTATCAGCATCACCACAGCCATCATCACCACCATCGCCATCATGATCGTCATCATCATCATTATCATCATCACCATCATCACCACCATCAGCACCACCATAATCATCAACATGATCGCTATCGTCATCACCATCGTCATCGTCATCGTCATCATCATCACCACCATCCTGCAAGGGAGGTCTGCTGCCAGAAGGTTGGTCCGTGGCCACGTCATCGTTCCCACCCGCAGGCGGTCCTCGCTGGGTCCTCCATCCCTGCTTCTCAGCTGCAGTGGCGACGAGCATCCCTTGGTGATGCGCGCTCCTCCCCCCTCCTGCCCTCCACGAGGACCAGGGTGCCTGGGCGTTTTGGCAGCTTCTGTTCAACCATATACTGAAAAGGGGCTCTTGTTATGTCTCGGACCAGTCCGCTTCCTATCTCTCACTACTCCCACCCGCCTCCTCCGCATACCCATACTCAGACCATGGTCATTCCCGGACGCACTCATGGCATTAAGACCCACCCATACATTGACCCATTCGCACTCAAACCACTCATGCTCAGACCCGCTCATACTCAGACCTGTTCGTATTCAGACTCGCTTGTGTTACGAAGTACTCGCACTCATACCCACTGATTCAGTCACATTCGGACTCACACTATGCCGTTCACGCTGTCGATTGCTCAGGCGCAGACTTACTCACACTCAGACTTACTCAGACCCAGACCTGCTCATGTTCAGACTGACCCACACTAAGACTCACTCGCGCTCATAGTTTCGGACGTATGTGTCTTGGTGGTCCAATGCTCACCGCAGGAGTGGCATTTGAGCACGCCAAGGGACAGCCGCCAGGGGTGGGGGCACATCATGATTCGCGCTCAGAGTCTTGGGATGTCGCAGGCGGCTTGCTTGTTTTGGCGCCTCTTCGCGCTCCAATGCTCACCGCGATGTAGGAGGCGTGGCACTTGGCCGCCGAAGGCTGAACCGCCAGGGGTGGGGACACTTCATGATTCGCACGCTGATTGCGGGGATGCTTTAGGCGGTGTTCTTGTTCCGGCGCCTCAGGCTCATCTCTTTTGGTGGCCCAATGTTCACCGCACTACAGCAGGTGTGGCACTCGGGAGCCACCAGGGGTGGGATCACTCTCCCGTTCGCGGCCAGACTGCGGGGATGTTGCAGGCGCGCGGTTAACCGTAAGAGCACATTGGAAAGCCATTAGTGCACAGTAGTAAAGTGCACAGTTGCATTCACAGAAGTACACAGTGCACTGGAGAGATCCATTGTAAAAATGCGATGTGAGAATCCAACGTGCAGTCTCAGCGTGAAGATCCAACGTAAAGATCCAACGTAAAGGTCCAACGCAAAGGTCCAACGTAAAGACCCACCGGAAGATCCAACGTAAAGATCAAACGTGTAGATCCAACGCAAGATTCCAACGTAAAGCTCCAATGTAAATATCCAACGTAAAGACCCAACGTGAAGATCCAACGTGGATATCCAACGTACAAATCCAACGCAGGGATCCAACTCAAAGATTCAACGCAATGGTCCATCGTAAATATCGGCGCGGAACCAATCAGATCCTACGTAGCGACCCACAGCAAATATCCAACGTAAAGATCCAACGCGCAGATCTTTCGTAAAGATCCAGCGGCAAACATCAAACGGGAAGGCCCAACGTAAATATCCAACGTAAAGATCCAACGCGAAGATCCAACGCAACGATCCAACGCGCAGATTCAACGCGCAGGTCCAACGTAAAGATCCAGCGCAAGGATCCAACGCAAAGATCCGCGTGCAAATTTCCAGATCCTACGCGACGATCCAAAATGCAAATCCAACGTAGAGATCCAACGGCAAACATCCAACGCGGAGATCCAGCGGCAAAAATGCCCAACACTGCGTAAGGATCCGACGCAAAGATCCAACCGAATGTCGCAACGACCAAGCATAGAGATCCGACGTAGAATACTCGAAGAAAACCCAGTTTAGAGATCCCAGGGCCACGTAGAGACCCAGCGCGAAGGCCCAATATGCAAATTAACAACCCAACGTGGAGAAATCCTGATCCCGCGAAAGATCCAGCGAAAAGGTCCAATACGAAGGTCACATGTAAAAGATTGAAAGCATACCCAGCCTAAAACTTTCCGCGCAGAGATGGAGCGCGAAGATCCAGCGTGGAAATCCCAGATCCCGGGCGCAAAGGTCCAGCGCGCAAATATAGCGTAAAGGTCCGACGCGAAGCTTCTTAAAGTAAAGATCGAATTAAGTCCCGGGGCGCGTCCAAAGTTTAGACCCTGGACCCCGCGCGTAGAGTCGACGCGAGGTCCAATGCAATGATCCGGCGG